AACAAATGATAAGCAAATAGGGTTTCAAGATCCATATCCATTTCATATACATTTGCAATTCTTTGAGTATAACATTAAAAATATCAATATGGCTTGGGGTCTTTCTAAGGAATTGACTATAAATGTTTTGAATACACACTTCACAGTTGTTACTGGACATCCCCCAACAAGACCAAAATGCCAGTAGGCTGATAAAGTGCGTGACGATGAACCCACTCTGGAGACAGCTCCAGCGAACAGTCTCTGCTTTGCTGCACATGAACAGCTACTAATATAGCAGAAGCTTATCGACTGTGATTGGCTAGCACATTACCTGAGATTGGAGAGTGAGTGCTCATACCACCGGGGTCTCTATTCAGAAGCACAGAAAAGGAGACCCAGAGAGTACAGACTCAGTAGGTCAGGTACCAGCGTCTTAGGTTGCTTCAGAACTCCATGTTCTGAATTCTGGGAATACTTAGAAGCATGGTATGCCATGCTTCTTGTTCAGGAGTGCAGTGTGCCAGGTGGGCTGACCACCGGGTGATGTCTGCATTTTCTTCTACAATATTCCCCTCAAAAACCAACCCAAAGTCTGGTGTGCCATGAAACCCAGTTTAGTATATTTCAAACTGATCATAGACTTTCTGCAGTCTGATAATGGCAGCAGAGTTCTACAGAACCCCCACCCCGCCAGACCAGAGTCCATTAAGGATCAAGTCTTTTACATTTGAAGGAAATTCTTTTTCTCTCATATAATGAGATTCAATGGTGTTATAATTTCTTTCTTGCTTTATCCTCCACCTAAGTTACTCTGAGCATTCTGGTTTTTTTTTTAGAGAGTCAGGATATGCATATTTATCAAGAGCATTGTAGTAACTCGTTATTTGTATATAACATGAAGTAATCAAATCAGGGTGTGATGGTTAGTGTTGATTATCAATATGACAGGACAAGTCTCCAGGTACACATGTGAGCGATTATTTAGCCTTTGGGAACACCTGTGAGAAATCATATCAGTTAGATTTATTGAAGTAGGAAAACTCATACTGAAAATTAGCGGTACTATTCTCAGGATCTGGATTCTGAATTGTATACAATGTAAAATGCTGGACACAAACATTCCTCACTCTCTGTTCTGATGGGGGGATGCAATGTGACCGACTGCATCCACCTCCTGTTGCCTTAGCTTCCCCACCATGATGGACCCTACATTGAACACTAGTGAGCCAAAATAAGTACTTCTTCATTAATTTGGCCACAGTATTTTATTACAACAACTAAGACATAGAGCACCAGGTGCCAGCATCTCGTCAAACGTGAGCCAATTTCATATACAGGGAATCTCTTACTCCTCTAGTCCTTTGAAAATACATCACAAATTATTTTAACTTACCATCACAATGCTATACCAACAAAGAACCACAGATAATTCTTCCTCCGTCTATTTTCCCCCATACTCTTTCTAATCTCTAGCCATCACTACTATAAAATTTCATTTTTTTCAGCAAATAAATGGTGCTCTGTGATATTTGCCTTTGTGTGACTCTTTAATACAATGATCTCTCATTCCAACCATATCTCTTCCTAGGGCAGAATTTTAGTTTTTCATGGATAAATTTCATATATGTTCATATATGAACATACACATATATGGCTAGAATAACATGAAATACTAAGAAAATGTAGCCTATGTCTGTGCTGATCTGATATTTTTAAGTATCATGCAAAGTACTGCTCTTTGGTGTAACATGAGGGCCAGCTTGTTGGGGTTTCTGTCCTACCCAGTATCCCACAGCTGGCAAGTCCCAAAGAAAATCACACACAAGACTCCATAAGATTATAAACTGATTTTCCCATTAGGGCAGGCTACTTGTTAGCTCTTATAACTTTTGTTACCCCATTATCCTTATCTACATTAGCCACATGGCTCAGTACCTTTCTCAGCTGGGCAAGTTACATGCTGCCTCTTCAGTGGCGGAGGGAGCTTCTTCCTCCCTAACCTTCTCCTATTCTCATTGCCCCACCTCTACTTCCTGTCTGGTTGACCCACCTCTACTTCCTGTTTGGCCAATCAGCATTTTATTAAAATACATGATTGACAGAATACAGACAATTCTCCTGCACCACTTTGGGGGTACAATGTTTTCACCTTTGGTCATGCATCCAGTAGTAGAACCAATGGATTACAAGGTCACTCTACTGTTAGGTATATACAGTGGAGATGTATAACTGTTGACATTTACATCTCCAGACTTATTTCAATCCTTGAGATATTGAGCATAGCAAATATTAGACCATGATGATGATTTTAGGGTCCATATTCATTTCAAACATATTTATAATTCAGCATACTAAAATAGTTGTTATTTTCCTTAGCGAGTGGACAGGTAGTCACGATAGCTAACTGATGTAATAGGAAAATGCACACTGGTTTATCCAAGGAAGGTAAAGACAAACCCCAGTGAAATCAGACTGTTGTTTAATAAATACTAATCTCATAGGACATAACTCTGATTTGTATATATGGTGGCTAGTATTAACTGCCCATGCTACAGAGTCTAGAATCAGTTGGGAGACAAGCCTCCGGGATACTTGATAGGTTGTCTTGATTATGCTTGTTAATTGGTATGAGGACACCCATTTCAATGGGCAGAGCTAGAGGGAATCACTCCTGGGCAGCTAGAGGGAATCACTCTGTAAGATGGAGAAAGTGGTCAGAGTACTGGCATGCATCCGTCCCTCTCTGTTTCCTAATTGTGGCTGACACCCGCTGCCTTGATTTCATCTCCATGATGTACGGCTGTTCCCCAAGCAGTGAGAAAACCAAGCTCTTCTTTCCTTAGCTTATTTTTGTCAGAGTTTCATGGACTGAACAGCTACTAGATTCTTGGGATTTCCACTGTAGATAGTCATTGTTGGAAACAACTCAAGAATTCATCTCTTGGAAAATAGAATAAAATAAATAAAAATCTAGAAGACACTATTTTATGAAATGAATTACTGTTCTTTCCAATAGCAGTGATGAATTTCAAAAATGTCTGAGTAAATAAAGCTAGATATGAAAGTATATGTATGTGTCTGTGGATGTGAAGTAGTGTGCAAAAATCACGTATGTTTCTATTACGATGAAAAGCAAAATTCTATCCTTAAGTGGTGTGCTCTTGTGAAAGGGGTACAGAACTCTTTCAGGATAATCAAAATAGTCTAGACATTGCTAGGCTACATGGTATTATGGTTATTCTTATCAACTTGACTACATCAGTAATTACCTAACCCTTAAGAAGCCAGGTACACCTGTGAGGAACTTTTCTTAATTAAATCATTTGAAGTGGAAGACCCACTTTTATCTAGATCTTTTGAAGTGGGAAGGTCTATCTTTAATCTGGGCCACACCTTCTGGTGACCACCTAAATAATGGACAAGGAAGAAGCTCTTGCTATTGTCTGCTTGTTCTTGCTGGCATGTCCATTCCTTCACTGGCATTATCATATACTTCTTCAGAACACATCATAGACCAAAGATCAGCTGAGAATACCAGTCTCATGAAATGAACAGCTATTGGATTCTTAGACTTTCCATCAGTAGGCAATCATTGTTGGACTAGCTTGACCACAGCCTGTAAGTCATTTTAATAAATCCCATACATGTGTGTGTGCACACGTGTGTGTGTATGTACTGCTTACTAGAGACGATAGTTAGGTAGATATAAGAGATGATAGATAGATAGATAGATAGATAGATAGATAGATAGATAGATGATAAATAGATAAATAGATGATGGATGGATAGATAGATAGATAGACAGATAGATGATAGGTTGATAGATGATAGATAGATAGATGAGAGAGAGAGAGAGAGAGAAAATGGAGAGAGATTAGACAGGTAGGTAGGTAGGTAGGTAGATAGATAGATAGATAGATAGATAGATAGATAGATAGATAGAGAGACAGACATAGATAGGTAGACAGACAGATTCATTCCATCAGTTCTGTTCCTCTAGAGAAGCCTAACATACATGACTATATCTATTTATCAACATTTGTTAAACCATGCTTTCTCCTCCCCCCTTCCCAACAATACAACAGCTGGCCTGCTTCTGTATTCTGAATTCTTGATGGTGTTTTCTTGAGAAGCTCTCACCCCTCCCTGGTACTTCACACACCTTACCTGGACCCTGGTGTTGTGCCCTGGGTTTCCACAAATTGAACATCCTGTGAGCAATTATCTGGTCTTTACTGTGTTGTATCTTTTCCAACCAGCTATAACAAGCTATATTTCCCTCTTAAATGATCCTCTTATCTGATTTCCATTTTTAATCATCACATATTTTTGAGGCTTAACTAATAATAAATAAATAAAGATGTCTTTTTTTTCCCTTTCAACTAGGATCGCAGAACCTTAAATCAAGACAAGGTTGCCCCAATGAAGTGCGAAGCTCAAATGGTGGTTACTATTTTACAAACTCACAGAGAAACTTTAGATGGACAAGGATCATTGGTTACTACACGGTGCACATTTAAAGTCCTTAATGTGAGAATTAAAGAATTAATCGTGACTAATGATATTATCATGAACGTAAGGCAGAGACAGGGGTATCATCTATCTGTGCTCTTTTGCACAGTAAAAGCTGGCATTGGTGTTCCTTGTTTCTATGACTCTAGGGAGATGGCAGCCAGAAGTGTCCCTGCACTGTTGCAATGCTAAGAACTCCATCTGCAGTATACACTGACATTTACTAGGTAACCACAGTGAGTTTGGGGCGGTTTTCATGTTGACGGTGTAGGTCCAGGCTTACTCCTTCCCTAGCTTTGTCATTCTGGAAGAAGAGAGTCAAAAGTTTCCTGTGCCCCTGACTTCCTCAAAATAGAAACAAAGCCAGTAGAGGGAAAATTCCCGGGTATTTTATAAATGCTAAACTGTCTGGTGCTTTCCAGTACTGTTAGGAAATTCTGAAAATTCTTAGTAATTTCTAGGAAATTCTGAAAGCCAAGGTTTGCAACGTGACTTTTCCTCTCCTTGTCTGCAGACATGAGAATTGTGAACTCCATCCCACACTTCATATAGTTGGGGCACTGCTGCTTTAGTGTGGCTATTTTATATTCCACTTTATTATGACTCTATCTATGTAAATGTAAACACAGCTTCCCTGGACATAATTTCATAAAGCTAAGCTATCGCCTATCTTTAGCACTGAAATTCAAGTGGCAAGCCTGACAAGCAAAGAAAAATGAGCGTAGTTAACTCTCACCATCCACCATCCCTGCTCATCCGAAAGCTTATGTCAGTTTCTAAACAAGCTTTTCATTTTTCTATTCAGTCTGCTGATCTTTGTTGATTTACAGCACGGAGGAGCATAGCACATGGTACCTCGTAGAGTGAATTTTTCCTAAATAATAAAACATTTATTGCAGACACATCAAGCTCGCTAGTGGCTCGAAATTATTGTGGCAATGAAGTGCCGTGTTAGCAACTCATTTACATCCTACCAGCGACTCTCCATTACCAAGGTAAGTAATTTAATTCCATCTAGGAAGAATGAGTTAGCAAAGTATCTTTACTGCAATTTAGAAAAAAAATGCATGCTTAGAGCATATTACTAACTATGATGAGGATCTGTTTGAACCGAATGCAAACGAAACTAACTAGCAGAATGGACTGAGTTATTTCATATAATTTTTGCTGAAGAGTTGGTAAAATAAAATAACTCCAGAAAACATTGATGTATGCAGTGGACTATGGTTAGTGTATGTTAGCTGGGAGTGTCTAAGCTTTGCAGTGTAATTTAATATACTCTCTCATTTGTCTTTGCTTTCTATTTCTCCTTCAACTAAGATACAAACCGTGAAGTTTATCCTGTTCTCTATCATCAGCTACAAGTCATAAATTTATGGAGTGCTTTCACTTATTACTTATGCAAAGCCCTTGCTCATTTAACATACCCATCAAGTTGATACCAAGCCCACTTTTTAAATGCTTATTTACCTTGATTAAAGATTCTGATTTTCTGCTCGTGTCCTACACCTGGCTAATTGTCCATTACTCTCTGTTTGAAAAGTCAATAATTAAACATGTAACCTTTAAAAATATAAAGTGTTTTATGTGAATTTTTGGATTTATACAAATACTGTTACTGTCTTTTACTTTATTTCCCTCCCCAGTAGAAATTTTATATACATTCATTTGGCTAGATATGGCTAGGTATTCGCTCCTAATCACAGGATTGTGACTTAAGTGCACATTGTGCACATACACTTATCCTCCTACAGTGACTCCAGTACCCAGCTGTTATATCCAATGAATGCCAACATCTAAGTTATCTTATGAATCTATGAAACGTATATTTCTCTAGGATTAATTCCAAGAATAAGGTTCCTGAGTCACACTCAGAAATCACACAAATGAACAAAGCAAGAGGAAAATGTGATAGTCTAGATGAAAATGCCCAAACATGTATGCAAATAGATCAGGAACATAAAGTGATACACAGACCCAGGAAGATGAAAACATATTTAGTAAATTCATGAAGTTCTTCAGGGTTGTAACCAGTGTGGACAGTTGTGAACACACCTTCAGCAGCAAAGATGCCTGCATTCACAAAAAGCCTATGGGTGCAGTGACAGTCAAGTTTGTGGAAAGACTTGATTTCACAACCTCTGCAGTTATTCTAAGTGCTTAGAATAACTGTGATCTTAGCAGACAGGCTAAAGCTTTTCGGTCTCCCCACAGTCTCTACAAATTGAGTTTAATTATCACAGTTTTGCTTATCTCAGGGTTGTAAATTATCTTTATTTTAATCACCCAATTACTGAGTTTGAGTATCTCTAAAATTTTCCATGATAGGTTTAGACTTTCTCTTCCGTGCATTATACACACAGAACTACTTTGCACATTATGAACTGATTTTGTGTTCTTTTGTTTTATAACTTTAGAAATTGCATGTGTATGCTATATACTAAATACTGTGTACAACACTTATTTCATGTAGCCAGATCTATTTATATTTTTACTTTGATATTTGCTTTGGAAGGTTTGAAGATTATCTCCATTCATGTCCCAGAGGCAATGTAATTTATTTTCAGGTCTGCTATGTCCCTTCTTCATGATATAATGCTGAGTACATCTGAACTCCACTTTTGGGTGCAGTGTTAATTAGAAAATCTTGTCTATTTTTTACAGGTAGAAAGTTGTTTTTAAGCACTCTTTGCTTCCTAACCCACATATACCTTCACACTCTCCATTGGTCAATTATTTTCCATCTATAAGATCTCTGAGTCTTGGTCTTTGAATCTTTTTGTTACTCAGCAACTCCTACATTACATTTATTAAATAGATTTGTTTAAGAAAGGTTACAGTTTTCACCTTTGCTTTTTAGATTCTTCATCTGCCATTCTAGGAAGAATTTGCCAAATTCCTCAAATATCTAACAATATTTTAATTAGGTTTTTATTGAAATTATTAATGATTTTGATTTAGATTTGGATGTATCATGATAAATTGGCAAAAGGCTTCCTTTATATAACCTGTAACAAAGATACCATGATGAAAGGGTTTATTTTGGTTTAGGGTAATTTATAGGTTTATGACAGAAAAATATGTTTTTTTAACCTTTAGTATTCCATCTTATTCTCCTATAATATTTTTCTATTTGATTATTTTATTCAGATATTGGATAATTTAGGCTTTGTGGGCTAGTCAATGTATCATAACCATTCAATTCTGTCATCCTAACGAACAAGAAGATCCCAAACAATAAATCAACAGTTGGACATGGCCATGTTCCAATAAAAGTTTATTTAGGAAAGCATTTGACAGCTGGGTTTGGCTAGCAGGCATTAGCTGGCTGAACCCTGCTATAGAGGAATAGAGCTAACTTGTTTAAGCCATTGTGTGCAGCAAATTTATTAAATTCCCTAATTAGTAGGAATAATTGGATTGCTGGTTAACTGTAGGGGATTTTTATTATATAGACACATGACCTGTAAATAATGATAGCTTGTGCCTTGCATTTTAATTATTGAACTTTTCCCTAATTAAAAAGTTGGCGAGAATCTTCCATTTTGTATTATAAATCAAGTGGTAGTGACTATTTTTGTCTTGATGCTCACTTTCCTGGGGAAATGGAGTCTCTTTAGTGAATACAATTTTGCAGCCAGAGTTGGGATTCATTCATCTATATCAACTGATAATTTCATGAAGTTTTATCTTTTATCAGATAAGAATATATTAGTTATGAACATCATTTTATTTTGTAATAAACTTCATTGTAACATTTTTCTCTTTAAATTAGTTTTCAAATAAAAATATGTGGACAATAAAAAATACATCTTTTAAGAGTTGCAACAAATATAGACACCTGAGTAGTTACAGTATCAGTAAATGCATGGATCATTTTTATATAAAGAAAAGTTTGTTACTGTTTCAGTCTTTTTCTCCATATTTCAAAACCTAAGATATAGCTATTTTTCTTTGTATCACCAAAAATAAGGATCCTCTGTTTTGGAATGCTGCATAAATTCAGTCATTTTTTTCCTCTGCTCATGTGTTTTCTCTGTATTGATTCTATTGAGAATATAATGTATCCATCTGCTTTTATCATTCATCATTCTAGGTTCATTTTTATCAATCTAGAAAAACATTATTATGTCATCTTTCAAACACTATTTGAAATAGTTCTGGATTTCCATTATGAGATTTGTTTTTGTTTTTTTTGTTTTTTTTTTTTTTGTTTTTTTGCAAACCTACTGTGAATGTGTGGATATTTGGCTTCAGTTTCTTAGATAAAGACCTATGATGACTTAAGATTTTTAATTGTGTAAATGTACCACATTTTTCTTATTCGTTCTTTGAGGTGCATTTTAGTACTACAAAGCAGAAAAAAAATAATGATATCTTGAAATTTGCAGGCAAATAGACGGATCTAGAAAACATCATATTGAGTGAGGTAACCCAGAAAGACAAGTATCATATGTACTCACTCATAAGTGGTTTTTAAATGTAAGGCAAAGAAAACTAGCCTACAAATCACAATCCCAGAAAAATTAGACGACAATAAAGACCCTAAGAGAGACATACATGGATCTAATCTACATGAAAAGTAGAAACAGAAAATCTCCTGAGTAAACTGGGAACATGGGAACCATGGGAGAGAATTGAAGAGGAGGGGAGAGGAAGAGAAGGGAATAGAGAAAAAATATATAGCTCAATAAAATCAATTTTAAAAAGATTTTTAATGTGGAGACTTGGATAATAAATTTTCTTATCTATTATAGATTCTAAAACTACATATTTCCATCTAGCCATTTGTCTTAAAGTTTTCTTGCTGTGAAGAGACACCATGCCCACTCCAGCTCTTAAAAAGCAAAACCTTTCACTGGGGTTGGTTTACAGTTCAGAATGTTAGTCCATTAAGATTGGTGGGAAGCATGGTGGCATGCAGGTAGACATGGTGTTGGAGAGGACCTGACCGTTCTACATCTGAATCCATGGGCATCAGGAAGTGATGGTGACACACTGGCCAGGCTTAAGCATCTGAGACCTCAAAGCCCACCCCAGTGACACACCTCCTCCAACAAAGCCACACCTACTCTAAAAAGGCCACATCTCCTAAAAGTGCCACTCTTTATGGGCCCATGGGAGCCATTTTTATTTAAATCTCCACACCATTATTTGAACTACCTCCAACAATTTAATTTCATGTTAGTATGGTCATACAACCCAAAATATCCTTCAGTTTCTTTTTGGTTCATTTTTCTGTCACATGAGTTAGAAGACATTTTTTCAACTACTCAAGAACTTTCTTAGTAAATTATTACCATTTATTTCTAACTTCCATTTTGTCAGGAATAGATCATGTAAAATAATAATTTTGAATATTTTAAGAATTGTTGTATTTCTTGGTATATAATACATCTTGCTACCGGTTTCACATTACTAAAAAAAAAATTAATGTTTGTTTGTTTGGTGTGTGTGGCTGTGCGTGTGTGTGTGAGGGAGCATATAGGCATTTGTGTAGGTTGTAGTGCAGCTGAATATGTATGCACATATGTAGAAAAGTCAGAAGGCAATCAAATCTCAGGTTCCTCAGATGTCATCCTCCTTGTTTCTGAGAAAGAATCTTTTATTGACTTTAAGTGGCCTGGCCAGTAATCCCCAGCAATCCATCTCTTCCCATATAGTGCTGAGATTCTACTATAAATGTATTCCACCATTCCTTGCTCGCTCTCTCTCTCTCTCTCTCTCTCTCTCTCTCTCTCTCTTTCTCTCTCTCTCCCTTTATCACTCTCTTTCTCTTCTCTCTCTCTCTCTCTCTCTCTCTCTCTCTCTCTCTCTCTCTCTCGTGTTTATACTATCTCTCTTTCCTCAGCTTCATTTAAACTGAATACTTCTTTACTATTCTCTGCTATTGATATCTAGTTTACTACCTAGATTTATTCAGCTGTTTGCTTGGAATCACCACATACACAAGAAACTTACCAAAGATCCCTTGGAATTTCATCATACTGTGTTATGATAAGTACTTGAATTTCAAAAGAATACAATTAATTTGTTTCCACTCTCCTATTTGCAGACTATGGAGTCACATATATATTGCATTTAATGTTTCTATATTTGACTTATATTATCATTATCTAATAAGAAGACTAAAAATAGTAACATGACTGCAAATTTAGATTTAAATCTTTGTAATTTTAACTTCTTCACATATATATCATCTAGAGTTAAATTTCTTTCCTAATTCTTTTTTCTTTTTTTAATTTATTTATATAGTCCACATACCAACTGCATTTCCCCTTCCTCTTTTCCTTCCACTCTTTTGCACCTCCCCACTGCACCCCTCCTCCAATCCATTTCTCCTCTGCTTTCACCCAGACAGAAAAAAGCAGGCCCCCTTAGGGGTATCAACAAGGTTCAGCAATACCAAGGACCTCTCCATGTGTTAAGGCTAGGCAAGGTAATCCAGCATGACAAATAGTCTCACAAGAGCCAACTGAAACTAGGAACAGCCCACAACAATGGCTCCACCTGGTTGATATGAAATCATGATGCTGATAGCAATTCTATAAGAGCTGTTTTGAGTACCAGCTGCTCAAGATGGTTCCAACTTGGTTAGCAGAAATGGTGCACTTTTTTCTAACATTTTGGCTAGAACTTCAAATAGGAAACTCAGAAAAACCATACCAAATTCTCAGAGACTATTATATATCTGGTATATTATAATTATACCAGACAGTAATCTTGAAACTTAACCATCATTTTACTTTCACAGGATCCCATAGAAAGTACATCACCCCATGACAGCTGGAAGCAATTTTAGAAGATGACGTCCCCTCTTCCAACAATCTTTGTTCTCAAGGTTAGAGACATCAATTGGGGGCTGATTATAATTGGTATAGGGCTCGGGTTTGAGGGAAAATATTTAGCTCAGGGATCTCTTGGGGGAAAACAAGGAAATTGGATAGGATAATAGAGTAGTGTGAGTTTACTCACACTAATAATAATAGTGAGTGATTGAGTGAATACTTGTGAGCTATTATTTATAGGCCATTTATATTGGTATAGATTCTTGTATATTGATACAAACTTAAATTATATTGAATATGTTCATTTTTTGTCTATAATATTTGTATGCCTAGGCAAAGTTATTTTGCCATTTCATATGCATGTATACTTCTACCTCTATTTAAGTAATTTTGTATATTGATAAATTTATGATATATTTACCATATTGCAATATACATTTCTACCTCTGATCAAGATACTTATACATTGTTTACACTTTAAGGTCATTATTCTCATTTGTCTCACTGTTGTTAAAAGATTGTTTAATATTCTAATATGAAGTCTTAGTCTTTAAATTATATAGGTGGTATGGGAGAATTGTCTGTATTCTGTCAATCATGTTTTAAATAAACACTGATTGGCCAGGCAGGAAGTATAGGTGGGTCAACCAGACAGGAAGTAGAGGCGGGGTGATGAGAACAGGAATATTCTGGGAAGCAGGAAGCTCCCTCTGCCATTCCTGCCCAGATCACTGAAGATGCAACATGTGAGCTGCCGAACTGGTAAAGGTACCGAGCCACATGGCTAACAGAGACAAGAATTATAGGTTACCGTAAGATGTAAGAATTAGTTAACAAGAAGCCTGAGCTAATGGGCCAATCAGTTTTATAATCTTATGGAGTCCTGTGTGTGATTTGTTTTGGGACTTGCCAGCTGTGTGGTACTGGGTGGGACAGAAACCCCAACAAGCAGCCCGGCCCTCATGTTACATATAGGTATTAAGAATTATAGGTCAAGAGTCATTCATATTTGTCATACTTATAGTTAGACTAATCAAGTTCTTTAGATACATAGAGATTGTATTCTTCATAGATAGGTAATCTTCAACCACTTTGAAAAACTGTAGAATGTGGCATTTAAATAACTTAGGGTTTTGTTGCCATGAGACACGATTCCTGCTGGCAGCACCAATCTATTCCTGAAAGAATGTTGAGCACTAAAGACACTCCACTTGGAGCTTGTTTCTTCTTGGCGAAACTGGTCTTTGGGAAAGGATCTGCCCATGCATCGACCACTGACAAAATGCATGATGCCCAGACAGGACAAGCAAAATACAAGAAAAAAGACTGCCAAATCTTGCCAAGACAGGGTAAAATGGTTTTGAAAATTTTTCTACCTCTGGATTCGGTCTCTCAATTACTCTAGGCTTTAGCCAAATTTGGTTGCTCCAATGTTGCAAATGAGATTTTGGGTGATTTCCCAGGTAGTCAGTTGTCTCTGTCATTTGTTGCACATTTTGGAAGTTGCTTGATTGTACTCCCTGTTTACTCAAGTAATATATTTCCCTTCTTGGGTCTTTGATGGGGTTAAAACCAGATAGTTGTAATTACTTTCCTCTCATGATGTGGCCAAATTATTTATAATTCAAGACTTTAACTCCTTAGGATGGGATAATTATTGAAACATTTATCACATGGTTCTTGTTGGATATTGTTTATGCTGGTTGTAATACTAATTTTTATACCTGATATTTGTTCTTATTGTATGTAATTCTGTATTAGGCTTAGAACTCTCTTATTTAAACAAAAAGAGGATGTGCTGTAGAAAATCTACAACCAGCAGCCTTTAAGTTACCTGGCCACTTGGTAAGGCTGATGAAAAACATGTGTCTCTTCTCTCTTCCAGCTGCTGGATTTGGTTCCTGTTCCCCATGTGTGCAGAGGACTGTGATCTGTCAGTGTACCCCTAAATAAATAACCCTTTATTCTACTCAATTCTGAGCCAGTGTGGGATTTTTTTTTCAGCTTCTATATCCAGAATCTTTCTTAATACTTATGCCAGTCTACCATGAATTCCTTCCCTCAGTTTTTATATTACCTTTCTTTCTAAAATATATTTTATCAGTATATTAAATTCTAGATTTATGGACTAATCTTCCTATATGTTTTATCTTTCAAAGATTTTATTTTACTTAATTTTCTCCTGATAAATATTTTTCTCCCAATATACATATATATACATATTAATTGAAAATATAATATAATCTTTATATAAGTTCCTCAGTTCTCCAGTTATGTTATTTAGAGTAACATATATCTTTTTAAAATTTATTTATTTATTAAAAATTTCCACTTCCTCTCATCCTTCCATTTTCCTTCCATTCTCCCCTCTCCCCCTCCCCCTCCCTCTCCAGTCCTAAGAGAAGTCAGGGTGCCCTGCCCTGTGGGAAGTCCAAGGCCCTTCCCCCTCCATCCAGGTTTAGGAAAGTGTGCATCCAAACAGACTAGGCTCCCAAAAAGTCAGTACATGCAGTAGAATCAAAACCCAGTGTCATTATCATTGGCTTCTCAGTCTGCCCTCATTGTCAGAATGGCTAAAATAAAAAAAACACCAATGATAGCCTATGCTGGAGAGGATCTGGAGTAAGGGGAAATCTCATCCATTATTGATGGAATGCAAACTTTTGCAACTACTTTGGAAATCAATGTGGCAGTTTCTCAGGAAACTGGGAGTCAACCTACCTCAGGATCCAGCAACTCCACTCTTGAGAATATACTCAAGAGATGCCCAATCAGACTACAAAAACATTTGTTCAACTATGTTCATAGGAGCACTATTTGTAACAGCCAGAACCTGGAACCAACCTAGATGCCCCTCAATAGACGAATGGATAAAGAAGATGTGACACATATACACTTTAGAGTTCTACTCAGTGGTAAAAAAAACAGTGACATCTTGACTCTTGCATGCAAATGGATGGAAATAGAAAATACTTTACTGAGTGAGATAACCCAGACCCAAAAAGATGAATATGGTATGTACTCACTCATAAGTGAATTCTAGCAACATATATCTTAAGACTGTATCGTTTTCCATTAACTCTCTCTCTTCATGTTTGATCTTCTCTTTAATTCAGAGAAATCTGTGTTTTCTACTTTGGGACAGTCTCTTTATATAACAGTCTAGGAAATGTCTCTAGGAAGAAAAAAAGCAAGAATATGTTTTCAATCTATAAAGGATTTATCTTTATCAGAACATAGACCCATCATAATCTGAGGACTATTTACTCTCTATGTAAGAGATGCAAGTAGAAAAAAACTTTATTAAGCATCATTTGTGAGAATAAAGTCAATTGTTATAATGACCACATTAATATTAAAATAAACTTGCCCTATGACAGTCTATGAAATTCATCACACAAAGCTCTATACCTGTACGCAGGAGTGCTATTTAGTTCTTTCACTGGTTAAATAAACCATTGAACACAATTTTAATAGTCATAAATTTGTATTAATTAACAATGAATATTGATAGGATAAAAATATGGCTTATCATAATTCTGTGCAAACAATCTCTATTGATTTTTGAAATAACCGATGTTATGTTATGTCCTGTTATATTGTGTCATGCTAGAAAACAACACAGAAGAGATTGCATAATACAAATACAGTGGGACCTTTTTGAAAGGATAAGCAGAAGAGCTTTTTAAAATAAAACAAAATCACTCTTTATCTTACTTTCTTTATTACTGTGATAAGACATGATGACCAAGACATTTTATAGAAAAAGTTTAATGGCGCTGACAATTTCAGAGGGTGAATCCACCATGGCCATTATGGTGAGGAGCGTGATAACAGGTAAGCAGGCACAATGCTGGAGCAGTAGGAGAAAGCTTACATCTTGATTCACAACCATGAGGCAGAGAGAGACACTGGAAATCGCATAGGCTTTTGAAACCTCCAAGCCTACCACAGAGACATCCCTTCTCTGATAACCTCATACCTTCCCAAAGATTTCTCCTAAGCAGAGGTCAGGACTTTGAGGGTCCTTCTCATTCAAACTGCCGCACTCTACTTTTGTACCTCCACCTTATGTTGTAGGCTATTTTATTTGTCAAGGTATCTGTGAAACTTTCTTTGCTCTTTTGTTCAAAGGTTACCACATGTTTCCAAGAATGTTAAAGCATTAGATAACACTCTAGTGTTAATCTGCTCTACATTTAAAATAAGAAGTTGCATACTCAATGAAAGCTACTGACAAATAATACATTCTTGGATAACCAGCATTTCTGTTTTGTAAATCTTAAGGGCCCTGTAGCAACATATTCTACCTATCACATCCTAAGTGAATAGAAACCATTATTGGAATTGGGAGAAATTCTTACTCAATGAATACAATCAATAGATGAATGAATTCTACTCCATGTGAGAAGTTGTCTACCTTGAAGGCTATGAGTGACAGGCTCAATATACAGCGTTAAATGAGTTCCAAGCTTATGAACTTTATTTACAGCAATTGATTGCACCAACGATTTGAAATAATCATTGAAGCTTGGGTCTTTATGATAAGCATATTTAGTATAAATTGAAATTGCTTCATAATATGAAAAAAGCCTCCTATCAAGTGTCCTCAAGCCTGTTGTTAATAAAATTAGATAGATTTTGATTTTTTTTAAAAAAAATAGTGCATTATTCTAAATTTAATTCTACTGCTTAAAGTAGATTATGTCTTCTGATTGTTGAAGCAGTACAAAGAAGAGAGAACAATTCAGAGATATCGTTGCCTCAAATTTACAGGCAGTCAGCCTGAAAACACAATTAGGTACACTATATTACAGAAAAACAGTTTCTTCTTATTAAAATTTAGCTAGTAAAATGCATCCTGTGGAAGCTCTGACATGTGTCTGTGTTTGTGGCTTCTAAGACAGATTCTGAGTAAGAGATTAAAAAGAAAAGAACTTCAAAATCTATCTTGCCAGCTAAATTAAAACAAGAAGAAACAGCTGTCTAAATTTTAGCCCAATGAAGTTAATTCTATTTTTAAGGGTGAGCCCTTGAAAAGGAAGACAAAGGTTTCCATTTGAGCCTCCTCCACTTTGTGAAAAGCAAATGCACACAGAGTACCGACCAAGTACAAACTCCAACTTAAAGGACATTCAGGGTTTACGTGAAGGACTAGTTTGTAAGAAGACGAACCCCTATGATTCGAAGCAAGACCAAAACACTCTGCACAACAGGGCATCTCTTTTGCCACACAATAAATACTCACGTGCAGAGGAAGATGTTTAAGAGCTGCTCTGAGTCTATATCAGGGTGTCATTGAGTCTGACCCAGCTGTCTCCGAAACACTATTGCTTTCCAGACCACCTCTATGGAGACATCAGGTGCTCATCCTCTGATGGGGACCAGGAGATACTGTTTTAGAGACTCTTTCATCAGGTCCAAGGGAAAGAAATGTCTCCCTCCTTTGGAATTGCATCCTATCCTTCATCTGAGCTAAGGAAAGTCTGTAGTTCACACCAAGCTAAGACTACTAGGAAACCACATTACTGTTGAATAATCACCATCAGTCTTTAGCATTTTCCCCAGTCATGATCATTTTTATATTATCGATTGAGTAATATATTACTTAGTTGTGTTTCTAACTAACCACATTTAGAACATTACCCAGCACAGAGACACTTAAAAAAATAAAACAAGCTTAAATGTCCTTATAGTTCATTTTCTGTGAAGGTAATTTCTCTTTCAGTAAAAATAATTTCTAGTTTTAAACAAAGCTAATACCAAATTCACTACATTATATCTTAATTATTTCAAGATTTATTTTGCTATTTCTCTAATGGAGATGCATTTTTAACCATATAGAATGCAAAATTTAAGATTATCTACTAATTAATCTTAATATTATGCCACTGTAAGCACAAGAAATATAAGGATGTTTCATCAAAATATGTCTGAATAGTCCTCCTTCTTATAAAAAAAACACACAGAATGAGGCTTTGCCTATATAGGAAAATTCAAAAGACATAAATCACAAAGAACCCTAATCCTGTGAATAATTTAGCCTCAGTTATTGGAAGATAAAATGTTTCATAAACATTTGGAAGAGACAAAGAAGGTTAGCTATCACAATGAATTCAACACCTGAGAAATGACTATACCTGTGACAGAAAGAAGGGACAGCTAAGAAATCAACCGGATGTCATAAGGAGGTGCAAGAGGAAGAACTGGGGGCTTTGATGGCTTCTCAGGAATGTCTGAATTTCAGTAGGCAAGATGGAAGAGTCTTAACAAAATGTCTTAAAAAAGAGGTATTAGGCAGAATAGGACAAACTGGGAACAATTCTAGAAGTCTGATTTACAACGAAAGAAAACCTGCAAAGAGATAAACCCCAAGTTATCCTGGAAACCAGCTAGAATTAAATTAAAAATTCCTATTCAGTAATTGGAAGGCTGGCAAAGATGAAGTCAGATAAGATGGAGGTATCAATGGGGACACATTACATATTTTAAAAACAATAAATCAATAGGTGTACATACTTTAAGGGAGCACACCTTAAATTCAGACCTAAAGAATCAGCATGATACCCATAGTTAACACCTTATAGACAGTTAGAAACAAATATCACTTTATAAGTCAAAGGATCATACAGAAAAAAATCATTTATTTCCCCTCAGCCTGAAGAGGAATCTGTTAGTCTAAATAAGATTCCAGCGAAATTATCATTGTCTTCATTATCTGGGTTCTGTCATTTAAGCAGAACAAAACAGAAAATAAAAAAAAAATTATCCTTTTTACTGCCACTGGGTGAATTATGAACCAGAGAAATTAACAAAGGCAAATAAAATAAATGGAAGTGCATGACAATTGAAGGCTCGCTTACCTGTGGCCTTAGGGTGGCTGGTAATGCAATGATGTCAATTAAGGGAAAGTTCTCTATTCCTGCCCAGGA